GGTTTAGGGTTTAGGGTATAGATCCCGCCAAGGAATCCTTAAAGGAAGGCTAAAACCATAAACACCCATTGTACCCCTTCGTAACTTAGCTCCCCGATGGTAAAATCGATTGGGTTTAGGGTTTTGGGGTTTAAACCCAAAACCCGAAACCCTCAAACACTAAACCCTAAACCCTAACCCCTCAACCCTAAACCCTCAACCCTAAACCCTAAACCCTATACCCTACAACACCCAAGGGTGATGAACCGTCGTGGCTACGGCGGCTTGAAGTTGGAGGTCGACACGGCCCGGATGACCCTCTACGGAATTGACGAGGATGGGGGTTTTTAGGGATTTGGGGTTTAGGGGTTTAGGGTGTAGGGGTTTGGGTTTAGGGGTTTAGGGTTTAGGGTTTAGGGCTTCGGGTTTAGGGCTTCGGGTTTAGTGGTTTAGGGTTTGGGGTTTAGGGGTTTAGGGTTCAGGGTTTAGGGTTGGGTTTAGGGTCCCAAGTATTTGGGCAAAGTTTGCCTGGATTCAAGCAGACCTACTGTATGGTCAATTGCAAACACTACTGTATGGTCAGGTGCAAACACTCTGGCAGGTGAGGCAAATGAAGCTAGCTTTACCGTCTTAGTCCATTTTCGATTTGGGTGGTTGTCAAAATTATGGTCCCTTTTGGGTCCTTATTATAATACGGCACTTATTATTTAGGGTACCCCAAAAGGGACCATAATTTTGACAACTACCTAGTTTGCACAGCCTTCAGCTTCGGACTTCGCGCCGGCCCGCTCTACGATCCCCACAAGACAACCTAGAGACTCCAAAACCCCTTCATTAAGGCATATACCTTAAATCATATTAGGGATCCTATTATAATTTGAGGTATATTCCTTAATTAAGGGGTTGTGGAGTCTCTAGGGACATATCCTTCAGATCGACTGGAGCAAAGAATCCCCAACTCACGATCAGCTCGATTGCTTTCTTGGTGTATCGCCCCTGTTCGCTCCATCAGACCCCCCCAAAACCCTAAACCCTAATCCCTAAATCGAAAAGGCCCAGAGCCCGAACAGTAAGCCCCTAAACCCTCAAAGGTCCAGCAGTAGAAGACAAAAAGTTGGAACATCGAAGGGATCCTACTCCATGTTCCAACTTTCTGAGGCTCGCTGTAAACCCGAAAGCTTAAGCCCCCCGGTGGCCGCAAAACACAGCACACAAAATCTTTGCACTAGTTTAAACTACCAAAACCTGCGTTTTTGTAGGTTCTTGTTTGACACCTCAATGTGGAATTTATAGGGGACCCTACAACAGAGGAGGCTTTGGTGGGTTAAGGTAAGGGCGTAACTCTCCAAATAGCTTGCGCACTTGAAGGATCATGGGACTTAGCAACTAGGCTTATAAATAAGGTAACTATCTACCTATATAAAAACAAACAAACAAACAAATATATATATATATATATATATAAGCAAATATAACCCCAATTAAGGTAGTTATAACCTTATACTTGCTAAGTCCCATGATGCTCCAAGTAGGCCCTAAACCCTAAACCCTAGACCCTAATTAGACCCTAAACCCAAACCCTAACTGACGAAGTCCCAAGCAGGACCTGGATGAGGTCATGTTGGAGGTCGGTCGCCGTTACCCCGGGCGCTCGGTGGCGATTGTGGGTTTCTCCTGCGGCTCCTGCAGCTTTGCGTGAATTAGAGGGTTTGATGCCTTGGGCCCTAAACCCGAAGCCCTAAACCCTAAACACTACTGAAAGCCCATGACTATACGGACAGATGAAAGGCGTCATGTCGGCCAATTCAGAAGCTGGTTGCACCCCAAGAATGTATTTTCCTCATCGTCATCATCATCGTCATCCTCATCCTCATCCTCATCCTCATCATCCTCATCCTCATCATCATCATCATCATAATCATAATCATAATCATAATCATAATCATCATCGTCATCCTCATCCTCATCCTCATCCTCATCCTCATCCTCATCCTCATCCTCATCCTCATCCTCATCCTCATCCTCATCCTCATCATCATCCTCATCATCATCCTCATCCTCATCCTCATCCTCATCATCAACAACATCATCATCACCATCATCACCATCATCATCATGGTCATCATCACCATCATCATCACTATCTTCATCACCATCACCGTCACCATCACCATCATCATCATCATCTTCATATTCATCAATATGTGTTGAAACTTGTCGTTTTCTGGTTGTTGATGCTCTAATGCATCTCTTTGATATGAAAATGAATGTCAGTACTCATACAAACGTTAGTATGAATATGAGTATTGTTTTGATTAGCATTATTATTGTTGTTGCCGTTGCCGTTGGGGTTGTACTCATATTAACGTTAGTATGACCATGAGTATTAATATTGTTGGCCCAAATTGTTGGCATTGTTATTGCCTTTGACGTTGCCGTTGCCATTGGGTTTGTGGTTGTGGTTGTGGTTGTGTTTGTGGTGGTTGTGGTTGTGGTTGCGGTTGTGGTTGTGGTTGTGGTTGTGGTGGTTGTTCTGGTGGTTGTTGTGTTTGTTGTTGTTGTTGTTGTTGTTGTTGTTGGCCGCACGT